ATTTATTTTAATTTTTTATTATCTGTGTTTTTTGTTCTGTCACTGTCATTCTGTTACACTGTGGAAGCTTCTGTCACGAAAACAAATTCCTCGTATGTGTAAACATACCTGGCAATAAAGCTCATTCTGATTCTTCTAATGAGCTGGTTATCTGAATCAGGTGTGTTAACTAAGGGTGTGTTCACTAGGGATGTGCGGGTCTAGTCGTTTTTTCATGTGCAGGAATGTTATTGTTAATCGCCTCAGGTCCTGTCTTTCACCAGACCACGTTGATAATTTCACTGAACAAATAATGCATGGTCTGAGTAAGTAAAATGGACATTGTTGCATTGTTTTGTAGGGCAAAAAAGTTCTCTAAGCAGATTTCACTCATGTTCAAATTGGTCGTGTGAATTCGCTGTGCAGACCACCAGACAGCTGCTTGGTTTAAAAGTGTTTTATATATCTTTGTTATTTATATTGAACAGTGAACCTTTTTTCACTAATGTGACTGCACTTTTAGTCTGCCTGAAATTTTTTTTGTGAAGTTGAACTAACAGACCTAGATAATGAGATTGTCGCTTGGCTTAGTCTAGCATGTATATACATTAAGGGTGCGTTCACACTTGGCATGTTTGGTTCGATTAAAATGAACCCTGGTGCGATTGCTCTGTTAGTGCGGTTTGTTTGAGTAAGTGTGAACGCTGCCATCCGAACCCTGGTGCGCACCAAACAAGCGGACCGAGACCGCTGAAAAGATGGGTCTCGGTCCGCTTCCAAACTAACTCTGGTGCGGTTCGAATGATACATGAGCGCAACACGGACCAAATACTTCTAAACGAACCAAAAACAGGAAGTAATGACAAGATGCGACGCTATGCGACATGATTTGATGACGCAGTGTAACCAAATCAAAATGAGCAGAGGGCAAACGTCGAGCAACGATGAGGTAAAGTGCCTTTTATGAGCTCCTTGTGAGTTTGCAGGTGGAGAAAATAAAATTATCAGCAGACGGCTTTAGGTGTGTTCAACCTAAAGCGCCGTTTTAAGTCTAATGTACCTTTTGTTTGGGGTGTTTGGTGAGTTCCGTCACAATATATACGTCATTCAAGCCGACCAATCAGGTTGTGAATGTATCACTATGCCTTTAGGTTCGCTGTCAAAAATGCCAATGTGAACGCTAAACGGACCAGGACCAAATGTATCATTTTCCTATTTGGTCTGGACCAAATGAACCAAACGAACCGAACTACAAGTGTGAACACACCCTAAGAGAGACATGCAAAATATGCAGAGCGGGGAGGCGTGAGGACTGGAATTGAAAACCGCTGCTCTATACTGTTCTGTCCGAATAAAGGCAGAAAAAAAGCTCATAAATAAAACCATAGGCCTAGCTGTTCTGTAGGCTGCTGATTCTTGCTCATGTTAATCAGCTGCAACAGAACGCTTTGTAAAAAGACACAAAATAAATGCATTTGAGGTCTAAATGTCTGAGTTATTTTTTTTTCTTTTTTTACCTTATTGGAATCGAAACTAGGAATCAATAAGAATCTGAATTGATAAACAGAATTGGAATCAGAATCATTCAAATTCAAACGATACCCAGCTCTGGTCACAGTCACGTATTGAACATTTGTTTCAGCGCCACTCTCTGGACATTTCCCCTTGAAACTGCTGTGAAGCGTGCAGTAAGGTATGTGATATATCAGTGTTGCACACATCTTCAGTGAGCCTGGGTTGGTTGTGTTCTAGTATTTATGATTAGCTAGGGATATTCCACAGACTCCTGTTGTTTTCATATGTGTGTGTGTTTGCACAGTGATCCAGAGAGACATTATTGGTGTGTTGTGTTCACCGAGGGTGTTATGGGTGGAATCTGTGTGTGAAAGCAAGCTTGATGACTGCTGATGATGAAATGTAAATGAAATGGCTGTTAATTCTCCGTCAGTCTCTGAGAAGTGTTTCTGCGTCACCCGACCATCACGTCCAGCCTCGTTTGCTCCATGTGTGACGATTGCTGCCATATTTACATGCCACTGACCTACTGAAAGCTGAATGACAGTCAATTTGCATTTTAGCTTGTTGTTGCTTTTGGAGGCTCAGAGCTACGTTTAGGACGAGACTCGTGTGCTGATTATTAGCCAGTGCATTACAGAGAGATAGAGATTACTTATTTTATACAAGATATCCTCAGTTCTCATCTTTGATATCATCTTCATCATCATATACACTAGGTGTTTTTTTCACTTTATGTGCCTTTTCTAATTCAGTGTAGTTCAGGCTTCTCACTCATTTTGACCAGTGAATCTCCACGACTTAAAACCTCATTTCCATGACCAAACATTTCATCATTCATTCTGACAACAGCACTGAAATCACATCATCTAGTTAAACACAAATCCACACTATTGATGGACAGTAACAGACATTCAGGTTCAGCTGAAAAATGAGAAAAAAAAGAAATTAAATAAAAAAATCCACATAAACACATTAAGGATTTCAGGAGATCATCAGAAGTAGAAGTAGAAGTAGAAAACTAACACTTGCTTCTCTAATCTTTTTGCATTCTATCTATTTGTTTTCTTTTTATTTATGAGTTGAGTCTCATCAGATCAGACTGTATGGCTATAAATGCTATGAAGGCATTGAATGGCCTGCATCTTCCTCTGTAAGTACATGAGCACGTCTACGAAGCTCAGTCTGTGACGTGTCTGTCTTCTCATTACAGTGGACATGAGCAGCCGTTTGAAGAGAGTCTCACTGAGTGAGTCAGATGAAGTCAATCACACTCCGAGTCATTGTAATGTAAATCTCACCTCACTGCACACTAAGGTTTGTGGCGGTCAGACTAACACAAGTGTGTTTAACTGTGCTGACAGTATGTGTCTGGACTTACACAGAGCCCTTGATTGATCTGTATTGTACAAACTAGATATTGGTTGATATTCATCAGTAGTAACGGTTATAAACTGTATATTTCACTACACAATATCTTTTATTAATAATTGTTGTTTCCTACAACTGACCAACAGAACTTTGCTGCATTATTGCACCGGTGTTGTGCTTGTTGTGTTTCTGTTTATTCAGTGTAAGTTCGGAGTGATTTTTAGCTGATTGCATGCTGGAGGTCATCTGTGCTGTCAGACTCAGAATGGTTTAGAAAGATGAGCGTCTGCACTGGTCATTCAGAGTCAGGAGCCCAGCGCTTCATAGTCTTTATGGTGTGAGTCGTCACTGGTTTCAGAATTCGATTTCATTACCATTATCTTGTCAATGAAGCGATTGCATTCTATATCACAATGCATCACGATGCGTCTCATCCACAGTTTTCAATATTATGGCACATGGCCACATTTTCATATGCATTTTATATCACATTTATTTTGAGCATTTTTAATCAATTATACAAGCATGCTTCTTTTTAAAATAAATATAAATTAAGGTAACACTTTATTTTGATAGTCCACGTTAGACATACTACTAACAGTAAGTAACTAACTACATGTCAACTAGCAGTCATTAGAGTATTAGTAGACTGTCTGCTTGATATCTGCTAACACTTTATTTTGATGGGTCCACAACATACCGACTATGAGAAACTTTGCAAGTATATATCAACTTATTCTACTAACCCTAAACCTAACCTAACAGTCTACTCAGAGTTAGTAGACGGGTAGTTGTGCATTAATGAGCATTAGTTGACATGTAGTTGCAAAGTTACTTAC